TGATTAAAATTCGATTAATTGAGCAGCCCTAGTTTGAACACACCAAATAACACAGACAACCAGAGCACGATACTGCATCGTACGCCATCTGTCTGTCGTAAGGTTTTACGTGTCAGGACATCAGAAAAAATTTGGTGTTAAAAATAAGAAAATACAACCTCAGATGAACAACGCATTGTACATTACACAGTAAATATTTAACAAAAAGACCAAATCCAGAAGTGGTGTAGCTCCTTCAGCAGCAGTGACCTGCAGTGATCGGTCTGCGCCATCACTGTGGATGAGCTTTGGTCGTTGAGGTCTGCAGCATTCGTTCATGCACAGCTTTCTGAGCTCTGCAGCAGCTCCGTTCTTTCCTTTTTCAGCTGTTCTGTTGGATCTTTGTCCTGCTGATGACCCAGTTTGGTCCCAGCTTTATCTGTGAGACATCTGCACTCTGGCCTCGTCTCAGAGCACATCGTTCCTGTTCAGTTCCTTTGAGCACTGCACGCTCTGATCTTTTGGTGAATTTGCTGCATCCACTGCTGGGAGAATGTGGATCCACCCTGTTCTCTCCTATAGAAGCAGCGAGGGTCGAGGTCTCACACAGTTTCTGTATTTTGACCTATTTTCCCATAAATGAATTCTGACTAAGTTTAATATGTCACATTGGGGTTTTTTTAAGGTTGTATTTAAATCATTTTAAACTAGCTAAGGACCAGATTTTAAACTAGCTTATTTTCCTACTTTCTTTTGACTGTGACTGTTTCTGCTAATATTCGTAGGCGAGCACTGATCAAACGTTTCCCAGTCCGGATGCTGACTCCTTGTATTTGAGTTCCTGACGTGAAATAAAGTAATAAAGGACAAGAGGAGCATGATAAATAAAAAAAATAAAAAACCCTATGTTTTGGCGTTACTCTTCTCGTTTACTGTCGCTCATCAGATTGGAGCTGAGTGTGAGAGTCTTTCCTGCTGTTATGTACACAAACGGTTTAAAACCTGCGAAGCAAACCACTGAAATCATATTGAAAGCCAGACTGAGCTGTGAATCAGGTGAGGATACTCGTGTAGAGTCCAGGAATCAGAAAACAGCAGGAGGAAATTAACCAAACAGCTGAAGTTGACTGACGTTGTCCCCCTTTGAAGTCCAAAGTCTGGATGAGGAAGATCAGGGCTTCCTGTCATGTGACGTGCGAATTCTCGGTCTATTCCTGCTTCCTTAGATGCGCTGCTCTTTGCTATTTCATCATTGTTTGTCTTGATCCGTTAACTCTGGACTTGCAGCGGCACTGAGCACACCTGCAGGACGGCGTTCTTCTACAAGCTTCGTGGTTGTGAGCGATGGTTTTTTGAATCTGCCGAGGTCTTCCCTGCCAGCTCCTCAGAGTTATCGGACCGCCGTTTCCTCCATCTTCCTCTGCAGCACTTCACCCTGAGCGGGTCCTTGAAGGTCCGTCCTTCAGCTCTGACGACACGGCCGCAACATTTCAGTCAGTAGATCTTCACATGGAGCTCTTCAGCTGTCCCTCACACTTCATTGTGGTTGTTGTTGGTCATGTGATCAGTGTAGGAGGTCTTCCCTGTGGCCGTGGTTTTGTTTGGACGCTCTGCTGGAGATGACGAGGACCTGCAGGTCTTGTTTTGTCCTGCTGATCTCAAACTCTGCAGTTGTTCAGTCTTGTTGGCACAGCGTTACCAGGCGTCCTTTGAATTTGTTGTTTCTGTCACTCTCATTTGTAAGTGCCATTTATTCTTTGTGATCATTACTCTCTGACTTCCCCTCAAAAATAAAGATTTTGTTCACACGGATGACGCTAACAACGACCTGTTCTGCTAACTTCCTGCTCTTTCATTTTAAGACTGGACGATGATATTTTGGCATCTGTGTTCTTGTAACTTGTGGAGAATCTTCGATCCTCCAAAAAAACTCATCCTGTTGGTTTCCAGCTCCCTGTTTTTATCTTTGGACTCTGCTACAGCAGCTTTGCATGATTTACAGTTGATAATAATCCTTCTTTATCTCACACTGAGCCTTGTGCAGCTCCTCGGTTCATCCATGTCTGAATTGAGCCGATTTAGCTCCTCCACCTTTAAGACAGCTTTGTTCTGATTGTCTGTGAAGGTTCTCAGTAGGGCTGCCACGATTACGTCGACTATCAAAATCGTCGACGACTAATTTAATAGTCGACGCGTCGTTTGAAACTTTGTAAGATCCTGAAAGACGCAGGAATAAGTAGTAGGATTTAAGAGTGTAATAACGGACTGAAACAGAAGATGGCAGCACTGCATGTACAAGGATGCCAGCTGCCGTTAAACCCCGAAGAAGAAGCTGTGTCCGGTATCGTAGCTGTGACCAAATTCAGGCCGCATCCTTCGGAGGCCGCATTTGTAGGCCGATTATGTTACAGCAACGCGGCGAAGACTGTCCAAATTCGAAGATTCCTCCAAATGTGACCTTCATTTCCCCAGATTTGAAGGATGGGTCGGCGTATCCTTTGTGGCACAACCTATCCCAGAATTCATAGCGCAGCTCAGCCAATTCCAGTTTCCAACAATAGCGGCAGCTAGTTAGTTTTAATATTACTCTTATTTTTCTTTCTGGGTCACAAAATAAACGTTTAAGATATTTTCAGGCGAGAATGTAGCTGTGTAAACCTCAAATATCTGCTCAGTTTATCAAGACACCACATATTTTCAAAAGCGCTCCGATGTTTTCGGAGACGTCTGTTAACCACCAACTCGATAGCTAGCCGGGGTTCAAGGCTCACTAGAGCTGGCGAGAACGGCACACTCCTGGGAAATTGTTTTCAGACCCACCGCTGTCTTTCGCTACTCAGGTTAAACGTGATCTATAAGTCACTTAGATAACCTGAAAATGTTATTGTTTGGCTTTTTTTCAGTGTTTTATTTGTTCGTGAGTAAATCTGTTTGGCTGAGATTAGATTAAGTAAAACTTTCTTAATTCCCTGGGTGGTTTTCACACAGCTGAAAAACGTCAGACAGACAGCTGATTATCAGAAGTGTGAGATGCTGGAGAATATACTCCGGTGTCCTGTTATATTTTATATAGCAAGGAGTTTATTAAACCTCACAGAAACAATCTGCAAATTTCATTAAAGTTTAATAAACTGTCATCTTGTCTTTATTTTTAGTTAGCACATACCTTAAACACTTAAAGCTGTAAGCTAATGATAGTTATATAAGAGCAGATGCTGCTGGTAGGGCTGGGCTATATCATACCGTTCACGGTAATACGGTGTAATTTTGGGCAACGATAGGAAAATGAAATATCGCAAAAGAATATGGGTAAAACGCGCATGCGCAGTGCCTATGTTTACATACGCACATGGTGGTGATGCAGAATGAGAAGCGCGAAAGCGGATCATTGAATGAAACCGATGAAGCTGAATTGGTTTGTAAAAATGCTGCAACTTCAGTGGTGTGGAACTGGTTTAGCTTTCGTTCGTCAGATACACAACAAAGCACTATTTTTGGTAGAGCATGCTAGCGGGCTGTCGTTATTACCGTGTTGTTTGGAAAATACGGCACACTTAAAATCAATCCTTTGATTTTTCTGAAAGTCGACAGTGTCCCTTATAATCCCGTGAGCCTTATGTATGAACTCTGGTTGTGTTTACTGACCTCGAAACAATTTTATGTCGTACACGGCGCTCGAAAATCTGTCAAATGCTTTAGTACGACTTTGCTAAGCTACGAAGCCGCACCGCTTGATGGATTGTCAGAGCATTACTGCTATTGTAGGCAGGAGCCTCGCGGAGTGATACGTACTGTGCTTCAACATAATATTACCGTATTGTGTGTGTATAACCTGTTTTTAAGTTTAGTGGATATTATACATGGTTATGCTGAGGATATGTCGGCCAGTTTCCACTGGAAATGCCTTTTGGTTAAACTGTCAGCAATGAATTTGCATTTGCACTGTTACATTTGTATATTACTTTAATGCACATAAAAAAACAGCTGCTTGTTTAAGTGAAAATACATTGATGGGGTTTTTGCACTAATAAAGTTGTGAAGTATTTTGTCTAGTGTCAATTACATCGTCAGTTATATCGTTAGCGCAAATTTTCAAATGTATATCGTGATAAATAGTTTTGGTCATATCGCCCTGCTCTAGCTGCTGGTGCAATAAGCTGTACGTTTTACGTCTAATGGATGATGATCTGATTAGTCAACTAATCGCAAAAATAATTGATGACTAGTTGACTATCAAAATAATTGTTTGTGGCAGCCCTAGTTCTCAGTCATCCAGATGATCGTAGTCTAAGGAGCTTGGGGGGAAAAAAAGCGTCTGGACTTCTTTAAGTAGCTTGAAGACGTTTCACCTCTCATCCTAGAAGCTTCTTCAGTTCTGAAGAACTGAAGAAACAACTTAAAGAAGTACAGACGCTTTTCTTTACAATGTCCTTGGACCTTTGTTCTGATTGGCTGCCTCTCACAAACAGAGGGTTCAAACAACAGGTAGGCGGGGCTTCCGCAGCTGAGATGAGCATACAAGGGTGTCCCCTATTTGTGACATCATGCAGGTCCAGCCTGAGAGTTCAGAGCAGCCTTAGCTTTGGGCTCACACTCTGAGCTTAGTGTTAGAAACCTGCAACACTGGAACACGAGACATGTGACAGGAAGTGAGGAGGAGGAGGGTGTGTGTGTGTGTGTGTGTGTGTGTGTGTGTGTGTGTGTGTGTGTGTGTGTGTGTGTGTGAGAGAGAAACCGTGCTGAGCTATTCTTCCTCTGCAGTGAGCGACAGCTGCTTCAAGAACCTGGCTGAGGACCGCAGCGGCGTGAACCTGAAGGACCTGGTCCACGACCCCTCGCTGTGAGTCCTCATGAGCAGATCTGCAGCATGCACGTACACACATGAGCAGCATGACAGTAACTGTCATTGTGTCACTTCCTGCAGACTAGGAGGAGTCATCGCGGCCTACAAGATCGTTCCAGATGAGATCGACGAGATCAAGGTAATCCCAAAAACAGGAGTCCTTTTTTAATATCTCTGTTTGTGCCAATAAAGGGAAACGATTTAACGCTTTTTCACAGACGTTTGTCTGTCAGTGGGCGGGGTCTACGTGTAAGTGAGGTCGTCCGCAGCTCTCGTCCAGTCAGACGGCGGTAAACTGGTTTAAACCCACTGAGCATCATAAATACACGTTAAGGATTTGGATTGAAACAAATTAGAAATCAGTAAAAATTCTGAGTTGTGATGATTTCTAATCGTGTACTGACGTCTGCTCCACATGCACGAGCAACGTGGCCTCTGTCTTTATGCATCACTGTGTCCACGTGATCGCCACCGCCGGCATTTCAGACTGACACGTTTCTGTTTCTCTGATTCTGTGGCTGTGATTGCGGCTGCTCAGCGTTGGTGCTTTTATTTTGGCGGTGACGAGCTATGTGTGTTTGCAGGAAACTCTGCTGGAGTGGTGCGACGAACAGGAGCTGAACCTCATCCTCACGACCGGAGGGACCGGCTTTGCTCCGAGAGATGTTACTCCTGAGGTACAGGAGGTTCAGAGGCGCGGCTCGACGGCAGACCGCCGTGTTCTAACTCGCTGTGGTTTGTCGTTTTCTAGGCCACCAGGGAGGTGATCGAGCGAGAGGCTCCGGGAATGGCTCTGGCCATGCTGATGGGATCTCTCAACGTCACGCCACTGGGCATGCTGTCCAGGTGAGCGCTCTCACTGCTCATTGACCAGTCACTGTAACGTGGCGTGCGTTTATCTTTGTAAATTCACATCTGGATCTGGAATGTTTTGGGAAACTGTCTGAATTTAATGCGGCAGCACGTCTGCCCACCGAGCTTTAACCCTCTGAGGTGATCAGCAGGTGTGTCAGAGGATGATGTCAAAGCTGTACTCGGGTCAGTTATGGAGCTCCGATAAGAAGCAGACTGTGGCAGATGTTCCTCCTGAACCTCCAGATGTGCTCCTGCATTAATGGTGCCTTCACAGTTAGTCCTGTCACATGACCATCTTGAACTCTCGGCCTCTCTGGGAGGATCTTCTTACAGCCAATCACGTCTCTGATTCACCTGGTTAGGTGCTGTCAGTCACATTGAACGTGTCACTTCCTGTTTCTTCTGTTACTCACTGGATTCTGATGAACGGTGCAGTTTAAGTTTGACACAGTGTGGAAACGTTTGTTTTCTAACCTGCTCTGTGTGCCGTGTCCTCTCCTCTGCAGGCCTGTTTGTGGTATTCGTGGCAAAACTCTGATCATCAACCTTCCAGGAAGCAAGAAAGGCTCTCAGGTACGAGTCTGACTTTACTCTGCTCAGTCTGCACCGTGTGGATCTTTGCACTGAACTCGCCGGGTATGTCGTAAGACGTGGCGATCCAGTCAGGTGGAGCTCAGCGTTTGTGTTATTTACCGTTAAAGTAGGAAGAGTTGAACTGCGTCGTTACAAAACTACAGATGTTGGATTACAGACCTCTGTGGGTGTCTCCAACCTCCTCCCTGACCAGCTCAGTCTGAGTGCGTTCAAGCAACGTCCTGAAATGTCGAGCAGCTTTTAAAAGTATAACAGAGTCTGAAAATATAAAGTTTGAGTGTCTAAGCCACCAAACGTGTGTGATCCACAGCTCAGAGTAACACAGGCTGAGTCAGGAGGACGGCGTGTCTGAGCTCAGACTCTGTGTGCACCAGTGAAACCAGTACACCTGTCACACATCACTGCAGTCCAGTTCACATGCATCTGTAAAGTGTGGGAGCTCATGGACTTCTGTGTCCCTAATGCCCACTCGCTCCGTGTTGCCGGCAGTGAGTCAGACTGTTTACAGACAGGATTTGTAGGTGGAGCCAGGTGTCTTACCTTTGTGCTCTCGAGATCTGGTGGTTCTGTTCAGGTGGCCTCCAGCTCACACAGGAGCGGTTTGCAGCGGGGATGAGAAAGCCAAAAAATGGCGGAGTGCCACCCTGAGTCTATAAAACTCAGAATGGTTGAAAGGAGCAGCTCGCCCTTCAGTGGCTGGCCTCTCCCTTACAGATGGAGGGAGGAGTTCAGACTTTTGATATGCGCTCAGAGTAGAGCTGCTGCTCCTCCACATCGAAGTTCAGATGGTTGGATATCTGACCAGGACGCCTCCTGGACGGCCTCTGGCTGAGGAGGCGTGGGGCAGACCCAGGACAGGCTTGGGAATGACTTGGATGAGCTGGAGGAGGTGGCTGGGTTTGGGATGGGGGAGTCTTTGCTTGGACTACTCGGCGCAACTACTGTTCGTGTAAACGATCCACTGTGCGTGCAGCGTCTGCTGTGAGAGTTTGACGCCATGACGACGATGATGATGAAACTTTGATTTTTCAGGAGTGTTTTCAGTTCATTCTGCCCGCTCTGCCTCACGCCATTGACCTGCTGCGCGAGGCCACGGTCCGGGTGAAATCCACGCACGCCGCCCTGGAGCAGCTGCCCTCCCCCTCCCCTCTGCAGGCCAACACGTACGCCAACACACACACCAACACACACACCATGGAGCGCGGGACCCAGTGTGAGGAGGAGGATGACGAAGAGGAGGACCGGAGGAGAGGTCGGCACGCGCACAACCACCACCATCATCACCACCACCACCAGCACGGCTCCTCCCACATCACCGCAGCCGCCATCGCTGCCAAGGTAAGCGGTGCGCAGGCCGCACGTAGAGCGGCGGCGGTGCTGGAAGCTGCCAAATGAAAGTTTAATGATCAGTGTGGGGAAAGTGGGTCACTGCAGCAGCTACTGTACTACAGACGCATGCAGCGGCTGCTGCAGGACGCACAGAAATTACCGGGAAGCGAGCGCTCCGCGGGCAGGACGGAAGACAGGAGGCCCGCCTCCCAGTAGCGGAATGACATTTAGAAAACACTTCCTCTTCAGGGTCAGGCGGGTCATTACAGGCTCTGCCCACGGGGCATTGCAGGTTCTTATAACTGTAGAAGAAATGAGCACCAAGGAAACTCGTTTTTCAATCCGTCGTCACGTTTAGATCCATAGGTCACGTGACAGAGCATCACGTGACCTGTGTCGGACGCTGTCAAGAAGTTTCGATCAAACTGGTCATTATGGCTCCTTTATAAAAGGAACAACTTGTCAGGTTTTAACACTGAAGGGGTGGCTGTAGCTCAGGTGGCAGAGCAGGTCAGCCACTAATCAGAAGGTCGGTGGTTCGA